AACCTAACGACATACGGGATATATATATATACGTTTTGATAAGTCGAGCGGAGAACATTAATGAACACTGCCCTGTCATTATTCCATTATCCATCGCTATACGATCACGTTCACATGCCGCTCGACCTTGTCGTGCGCAGGTCTCGCTCATGAGCACGATCATGGAGACTCATGATTCAGGTAACTCGGACCTGATGGCCTTCCGATCCCTCCGTACGCTGAGAGCACTCCGTCCACTTAGAGCCATCTCGCGCTGGGAAGGCATGAAGGTAATAACGTGGCTTCCTCTAACAACCGCAACGTGACGCGCTCCTTGCATGCATGCGAACTGTATGAGCGGAGGCATGACTGTGTTGAGAGGAGTTAAATTAAAATATGTTTAAATTGACTACGTGACGAATTTTCCATGGTAAAATGTGTAAAATTTTTGTTGCAATTTTTTTACATTAAAAGTAAGAACTAACGGGACTAAACGTATCCTCAAATTCTTACATCATAAGATTGTTTCTCAATTAGTTAAAAATCCAAAAAAACCTGGACGATTTGATATTGTGTTCCTGACATTAATTGCTTGCTATGGGCTATGTATGAGTCACGAGTGTATGTTCACATCGAACAATAATTAGTAAAATAAGAAGTATAATGCAGCAATTTAACCATCAAAAGTGAACAGAATTACTTATATTTTGTGAAAAAGTGGAAATATTTTTTTTATTTTTACTATTTACGGTGACGTAATCACTTTAAATAGTAATTAAATATGCGTTATGTTCAGATTGTTGACGCTTTAACGGTAGTTTCGAAAACCTGTCTAGCTGCGTTTCGTCAAACTGGATGAGGTTTCCAGGGCTCTTCGACAAAAAAAAAAAAATACATGTTTAAGGAAAATTACCATGAAACTACTTTTCTACGATTTATCTGCGTGCGTTATACTATCTAGTATGATTGCGGTAACGCTAGAGGGGCAACTATGCTAGCTTGTCAATCATTCTACTGACGAATTGATATTTGCTGAATCCAAAGCTATGTGGTTCAAATGCCGCTCCTGTCGAGTACGACTGTCACTGTCACTCATTAGCATTATATCTATAATGTACACAACGGAAATGTCACCTTCAAGGCACCACCTCCGCCTGGTTTCATACCTCACTGTACGCCTGCAATTAAGTTTATATCGAACCTACTTGAGCAACAGCAATGTATTGCTGAATATCTTAACAACATGTGATCTTCATTGATCTCTATACACTAATAGTTAATATATATATAGATCAGTAGTGATCTCTCGTGATCGCTCGCAAACAACGTATTCGAACCCAGGATATTCTCTATATACGGCTCTATATGCGGCTGATTCGAACCAATTTGAACAATACAATTGCGCCCTCTATCGAACACTTTTCCGCGCGCTACCGCTATTAGCATACGAACAAAAACGAGTTTCATTCTAGCAATCAGATGCAACAAGGGCAGTTATTAGTATTATCGGCCACGCTTTCGCCAATTATCAGTATGGCACGTGTGCGCCGATCAATGTATATCGACTTGGCCTAGCGTAACGACATGCTCGTTATTTGTCGCGTCTGAAGCTATTGGACTTGCTTATTACTATACTAGTTACTTAAGTGTCCTTCGCCACTCCCGTGCTTAAACTGATTAAAATTGTACTTCTACATGTAATTATTTCTTTTATAACGATGTACTCTGTATTTATGTATGTCATATGCAGAAATAAACTGTTTTCAATCTTTCAATCTTTCTTTCAATCTTCATGCTCATCCTCATTGCAGCCCTGATGCTGGACGACCTCATCAGGAACGTGTTTGTCACTCCGACACTGCTGCGTGTCATCCGAGTCTTCCGCATCGGCCGCGTTCTCCGTCTCATCAAGGCTGCGAAGGGCATCCGCAAGCTGCTGTTCGCCCTCATCATCTCGCTGCCGGCGCTCTTCAACATCGGCGCACTGCTATTTTTGATAATGTTCATCTACGCGATCATCGGCATGACGTCATTCGGCAATCTTCGGCTCGGCGGCGCGCTCAACGAGGTCGTGAACTTCCAGACGTTCGGCAACAGCATGGTGCTGCTGTTCCGTTTGTGCACGTCGGCCGGATGGAACGACGTGCTCGAGCCGCTGCTGAGGACGCCCGGATGCGATCCGGATTTCTCCGGACTGCCGACGTACGAGGCGGGCGGATGCGGATCGCCGTGGCTTGCCGTGCCGTATCTCACGTCGTACATCCTCATTGCCTTCATGATCATCATTAACATGTACATCGCCATCATACTCGAGAACTTCAACCTCGCGCATGCGCAAGAGGAGGTCGGCATCACCGAGGACGACATCGACATGTTCTACGCGCACTGGTCACGCTTCGACCAGAACGCGACGCAGCTGATCAACTTCAGCGAACTGTCAGACTTCGTAGCCGGCCTCGATCCGCCCTTCTGCATCCCGAAACCGAACAACATCGCGCTGACGTCTTTCAACCTGCCGATCGTCGAGGGCGACAAGCTGCACTGTCTCGACGTCATACGCGCGCTGACGAAGTTTGCGATGAGCGACGTTGAGGAGACGGCCGAGTTCGCGATGCTGCAGTCCAACATCGAGGACAAGTTCAAGGAAGCGTTCCCGACTCGTAGGAAGATCATCATCGTCTCGTCGACGATGGACCGCAAGCGCGAGGACCGCGCTGCCAAGTCGATCCAGCACGCGTGGCGACGGTGGCGCTCGCGCGACGAGGCGGCCAACTCGACTCCGTCAATCAACGCGCTCGCGGCCGCCGCGACGCCGTCGCTCTTCCGCAAGGCGGCGATGAAGCGATTCCTGCGCACGCCCACTTCGCAGCGCCGCAGCCGCTCGCCCTCGCCCAGCCGGCGGCAGGGCCTCTCACGCAACGACAGCAGCCGCACGGCGTCGCAGCGATCGCTCGCCGTGCCCGTCAGCACCGTGTAGCCGTGACGTCCCGCGCGATCGGTGGTGACGCCACGCGCGATCGGTGTTGACGTCACCCGCGATCGGTGGTGACGTCACGCGGTCGGTGGTGACGTCACGCGATCGGTCACGTCACGCGAGAGTCGCGGTGATGCGGGGAGAGAAAGGAGGGGATGGAGGCGCCACGTTGAGGTCATCGGAGGGTGATGCTCTGCTGCCTTCTGCGCGCGTCGTCATCGTTTTATTAATGATATATATTTATTACTGTTATACACACGATGAGAATTTTAGTCGGAATTTTGTTTCGACGGCCGATCTGCGCACTGTGCCGCGGTCGGTGCACCGGTGACGTGTCGTGGGTGTTTTTTTGTCCGGTTGACACGGGCGACCTAGCCAGAAATCCTGTCGTATTCCGTGGTAAATACGTGTACAGAGAGAGGGTGTCGTCGTACGGGGCACGGCACTAGTTCTTCGTTAGAAAACCAAAAAATAATGAACAAAAATAATGAACGCATTTCTTTTATTTGTGAGCGCACCGCGACGCGCATGCGCGCGTAGCAGTCCGCGAGGTACGCGCTGCCATTCGGCGCTGAATCGACGTGAGCGAAATGGTGTGTTAATGCAGTTTTTTTGCGGGTTTTCTAGGCGCCTTGTCTGCGGGTTTTTTTGAGCGGTACGATGTGAAGAGGCGGTAGGCATCAGCAAGATTTTTGTTTGCAATGCTGGAACAGGTTATTTTTGTTTGCTTTCACTAATTGAGCACGCGACGTCGGTCCAGCGATTGTGGTAAAGATTTCTTTACGACGAGTTTTGTTTGTGAGAGACAACGGTGAAAAAATCTTCGAATCGTTAATCAAATTGGAAGGTGCTAGAAAATCAGCACCTGATATGTATGCATTGCGTAGCATGTTAGTTAGCGTTGATGCATATGATGCATACATATAACAGCAAGCATGTATTATATCAAGAGTCCATAATAGTCTTCTATTATAAACTCTTGATTATATCAAGTATCCATCCAACAATTTTCGGATGGATGAATACTCGATCATAGCACGAGAGCAGCGTTAGGATCGCTTATACTTAGTTTCAAACTTATGAACGTTAATCTATTTGCAATGCAAGTTCCAAGGTTTTTGATTTTTAAACGTTGTTTAAACCTTTTTTTGTTTGGTTCTAACGATATTGCAACGCCTATCGGGTTTTTATCAGTGCCATTCTGCTGTTTCAGGAAATAATAGTATTTCAAAATGTGCTAGCAAGAACGAGCATTGGTGTCACGGCACGTTTTGGACAAACACTAAAATACTAGATAAAAATATATCGTGAATGCAGTGCAACGTAGGGGTTGAAACACAGTGCTACTTACCTATAGCGGTAAACACATGTAAATTTAATGAATGGACCTCCCCCTGGCAGTGTGATTACGATTAAATAGAGCTTGTGATGGATTGTTGGTTTTTTAATTCATATAGCTATGGCCGGCTCCGAACAGTTTTTGTGTGTGTTTTAACAATGATCCTCTTTTATTAACCGAGCGCCTGTTTAGGAATACTGTTGTAATCATCGTTTGTGTTTATAAAAGTCATGAAATTTGTATATAATAAATCACAAGTTTTATTCCCAAAATCAGCGTTCTTCTTCGCACTCGATGTGTCGATCGCGGGTTATTTTTAGGATTATTGCTATGCGTAGAAACTGGACACAAAACGCGCCCGAAGCATGCGACACGAGGTAAATAATAACAAGAGCTAATAATACCTATTTTATATATACCTATATTATTAGCTCTTGATAATAACCATAATGCAAATAAAACCGCGAAATACGAGAATCCTATTTCCCATAGACCTATTCAGTTTTTTCGTGACGAGGGACTAACAAAACGACTCGAAAATTCAATGTCTCGTAAAGCTCGCATGCATGCTATGCGGAGCGCATTGAGCTTAATGATCAGCCCTATTCTCGGAAACTCTAGCGCAAAGGGAAATTAGCGAAAGCGTAATGTGCATCGAATAGAGAGGACGCTTCGTACTATTGCAATACGCTCGCCATCAAAAAAGAATTAATATGACGATACGAGACCATGGCGATTTACCTCAGAGAGTAAAAGCTTTTTCTAAAAAAAATTATTTAATTCCCAGCGTTTTCACTCGTTCAAGTGCGTGAGTTTTGAAGCGTGAGAGCGTTGAGTTGTGAAGCGGGTGTTCTGCGTAAGCGCGGGTATTGGCGGCATATCGGTGCAATCCACCGGTGCCGAAGGCGTGCGAACGTCAAATTACACCAGAAGCAAGCTCGGAGCTCGTTGCCTCGAGTCGAAACACACGCGCACGCGCGCACACACTACAGTGTTTCAGGCGGCTAACAATTTTTGCTGGTCGCGCAAGCGTCGTACGTATATGTACGTCGGCATCACCGCGCCGGGGCTGAATAAGTTCGTTAGGCACTCGGTGGCGCGCGCATTCCCAGCCTCCGTAATTGCGCAGGCTGCTTGCATCGCAACAATACGCCGTTCGAATCACGCAAACTTCATAACAAGCTCAATCTAAGGCTAATTTCATCGCCGCCACCGATTGAGTAATCAATGTACGCTTCCCTCGTCGCGGTGGCCGGGACTAGTTGCCCCTTACAACAAAGATATTGTATTCGCGCGAGTTGGTGCATTGCGTTTCATCGACCCACCCGGAGCGTCGTTGTTGAGAAGTCCGCGTCTTTTGTAGAAAATGGGCGGCGACTGAAACCAAGCAACGGCTTGCCTTTGGTGATAGTGGGAAGATGGGGAAACGCCATCGCTATACAGCGGGTCCGTCAACGAGTTGTATGCCGTCGTATATCTGCGGTTTGAATACGTCTACAAATACCATCATTTCGCCAAAGAAAACATCAAGGGCAGTGGTAACCTAAAAGAATAAACATTGCAAATGGGCGTAAACAAAAGGTGAACAAGGAAGAAGAATAAAAAAGGAGAAGAAGAGGGAAAGAGGAGGAGTGGGGAAGAAAAAGCGGAAGAGGAGGAGAAGAAGGAGGAGGAAGAGGAGGAGAAGAAGGAGGAGGAAGAGGAGGAGAAGAAGGAGGATGAGAAGGCGGAAAATGAGGAAGAGAAGGATAACAAAAACAATAAAATTACACCTATAGATATCTCTCTGTGACTCTCCCGCGCTCGCTCTCACGCTCGATCTCTCTCTCTCTGTCTAGAGCTATTAGTATAGCAGCGTCCCAATACCGCTTACAAACAGTCCACCCTGAAGACAAACTCCCACTCATTCTTATTAGTTTACATTTACTAAATCAGTAGATACAGCATACCAACTCGGATCATTACGCGCTCCAAATTAAAGGTAGCGTAATATCATCGAGCGCATAGACTCCTCGGTTCGTTTTGGATTCATCCCCTTCCTTCCCCCTCCCCATCGACGTCGCTTTATCGATATATACACGTTGGAAACAATGAGGTTCCCCGTCAGTCGTGCGCGATGCACGATGTCCCATTACGTACAGACAGAATGCATTAGCCACGCACGTGAAGCGAATGCGTAGCGCGCAGCAATCAATTGATTAGCGAAGCTTTAATTGTGTGTGGCGCGAACCACCATCGGTTAGTTATCTCGCTCCGATGCAATGAGCTATCTTCCCTCTGTGTGTATGTCTGTGTGTGTGTGTGTTTACAGTACGAGGGAGGGATCGTGGATGTTCTGTTGACAGCCAGCCAGCGCAACTACTACAACACGATGAAGCGGCTAGGCAACAAGAAGCCGCAAAAAACCATCAAGCCACCAAAGGTTTGATCTTTAGCCCAACAGTTGCCGCTAGATGTCGTACATATCGCCCTCGTACGTTTGCCATTGTGCGAATGTGAGATCAGCTTCTCTTTCAATATATAAAAATCATATATATATATAAATCATCTATCAGCTATTCCGAATCTCATTATACAGTACATATGATCAATGTATTTTCCTGCGCGGATATTAGATGAAACCGCACATGCATTTATAACTTTTAATATACGATTATACGTACGGTATTATATGCATGTTCAGGTTTTAATCAATGTATAAAAAATTTCACGTCCACGCGCGAATACAGGTTGCCTTGATTTATCTAACATCAAACTATGATTTTCACGTCTACGTACATTTTTCGTGTCTCTTTTTCTTAAAATATTTTGTTTTCTACATATGATGAGTAGACGGCATGATTCACAGTTGTACGTGTTACCTCCCCTGAAATTACATATAATACTTCTTTCTTAAACTTCGTTACTGTTACAAGACTACCGTTTTATATACTTTCTCATTCTTCTATGTATAGCCTGTCGCTAAGATTATTATTTTATGTTCGTTATTGTTTGCTGTCCAGGTGGACGCTGAGAACTCTGTGCTAAATGCCGTGGTATGTGTGGACTGCTGCTCTATCACAATGATGTTCAGTAATATTGCCGTGTCAATCAATGTGTGCTGTCGTAACAAACATAACGAGTCAAATGAAACAGCACCATTTATACACTGCAGGCTTATCTCTATATTCTCTGTTACTTATAACTAACACTGTTTATAGTCCTTTACAGTTTATGTTACTTATAACTAACACTGTTTAGAGACCTTTACAGTATATGTTACTTATAACTAACACTGTTCAGAGGCCGTTACAGTTCTCTGTTACTTATAACTAACATTATTTAGAGACCTTTACAGTTTATGTTAGTTATAACTAACACTGTTCAGAGACTTTTACAATTGATATATTAAGTATTGCACACGGACTTATGCATCACTGATATCTCACATTTTGGCGCAATTTCTTCTCTAAATCGTCGTTCTGTTTTTACTGACAACAATCGAACTTTATCCCTTTGCTATGTGCCCCCGACCTGCTGCTATGTACGTTTACATTCAATTTTATTTTTCAAACATATTGTGTATTTTGTTAGATTTATCTCACGTTTTGCGCTTTCATACGATTGGCTAAACTGGCCATATCAACACATCCTATTAATCACGCTATGTAAATCGTCTATATTC